TCTGGTTCCGGTTGCTAGGGCCGGTTCAATCTGGTTCCGGTTGCTAGGGCCGGTTCAATCTGGTTCCGGTTGCTAAGGCAGTTTCAAACTGGTTCCATTTCCTTAGGCCGGTTCAAACTGGTTCCAGTTGCTAAGGCCTTTTCAAACTGGTTCCAGTTGCTAGGGCCGGTTCATTCTGGTTCCAGTTGCTAGGGCCGGTTCATTCTGGTTCCAGTTGCTAGGGCCGGTTCAATCTCGGGCTGGTTCAATCTGGTTCTGGTTGCTAGGGCCGGTTCAATCTGGTTCCGGTTACTAAGGCCGTTTCAAACTGGTTTCGGTTGCTAAGGCCTTTTCAAACCGGTTCCAGTTGCTAAGGCCGGTTCAATCTGGTTACGGTTGCTAGGGCCGGTTCAATCTGGTTCCGGTTGCTAAGGCCGTTTCAAACTGGTTCCGGTTGCTAAGGCCCGTTCAATCAGAGAAGCTCTGCTATCTGCTGGGTGGAAAACCTGTAATTAATCTATAAGTTAGAATTGAAACCAAAGAAAAGTTATTTCCAAATTTAACATTCAGGAGGAAATGAAAGTAAAAAATAACTGAGTCTGTGAAGGCAAGCTGGGAGAAGGAAGCAAATACTGAGGCGCTAAAGAAGGATCCCTGATTGGCAGAGATTATGGCTGGAATAACAGAGGAAATCTGGTGATTCCCAGAGATCCTATGGTGCTGGAAAAGTCATTTGAAATAAAGAGGTGAAGACGGGATAAAAATAAAATTCCCTTTGTTTTAAAATGGCGTATCTTGGGAATATTGACACATTAGATTTAAAGAGATGACGACAAAAAGTTGAGAATACTGCTGGCTGCTAAAAAATCCGTATCCAGGAGATGGCGCAGTGAGCCTACATTGGAGTCAAGGATTTATGTTATGGAGAAAATGAGTGCATCAGTAAGACTGGAGATGAACACATTTAATGTCTAGGAGGTAAAGGTTATTCTGTAAAACTATAAGATAAATGTATAACATACCCAGGTTAGATGCTAACAGTTGATTGGAATTTTTATTTACATTTCTAATCTTTGGTTGTGTCTGTTTGGGTTGTAGAGTCACATGAAAAAGTTTGGACACCCCTATAAATGTTTTATTTCTAAAAATAGTTTGCAACAGTAATCTAATAACTACGGTGGCCCTGAGGTGCAAAACACAACATTAACGAAAGCACAACAACATATAACTGATGGGCACAGTAATATTTCAGAATTCAATTGAGGTTTATTGGACTAACAGAAAATATTTAATATGCATTAAAATAAAACTTGACAGGTGCAAAAATTTGGGCACCTTAATTATTTTATTGATTTGAACCTTTAACTATTTTTCACTGAAACACAAAGTTGGTTTGGTAACTTCATTAAGATATGAACTTCATAGCCAGGTGTGAGAAAATGTATTTAAGGTGGCCGGTTGGAAGATGATCTCCTGTTTGAAGATTAATCATGGGCGCCTTAAAACAACGCTCAAATGATCTGAAAACAAAGATTGTTCAAAGTAGTTGTTCAGGGGAAGGATCCAAAAAGGTTTCTCAGGGATTTAAACTGTCAGTTTCCACTTTGAGGAACATAGTGAGGGAATGGAAGACCACAGGGACAGTTCTAATTAAGCCCAGAAGAATATCAGAGGCAGAGAAGAAGAATGGTGAAGGACAACCCAAAGACCTGCAGCATCATCTTGCTGCAGATGGTGTCCCTGTGCATCGTTCAACAATTCAACACTTTGCACCAGGAGAAGCTGGATGGGAGAGTGATGCGTCAGAAGCCGTTTCTGCAACGCCACAAACAGAATCGCTTAAGGTTCACAAAAGCACATTTGGACAAGCCAGCTTCATTTTGGTATAAGGTCCTTTGTACTGATGAAACAAAGGTTGAGTTGTTTGGTTATAAAAAAAAAAAAGGCATCATGGTAAAAAAAAAAACAGTGTTCCAAGAGAAACCCTTGCTACCCACTGTAACGTTAGGTGGAGGTTCCATCATGCTTTGCCAATACTGGCACTGGGAATCTTGTTAAAGTTGAGGGTCGCATGGATTCCACTTAATATCAGCAGATTCTTGAGAATAATGTTCAAGAATCAGTTGGGAAGTTGAATATATGCCGGAGAGGGATATTTCAGCAAGACAATGATCCAAAACACCGCTCCACATCTCCTCAGGTATTCATGCCGAGGAACAAT